CTGAAGGGGTTAGTAGAAGATGGAGAACCTTTCTTTTCCTCAGAATTCTCTGGTTTCCTGTAAATTCACAAAGGGTGAAGAAATTCTTTTCAGCCTTAATTATCTAGGTATTTAAACATGTAAAAGTTATACATAAAAACAAACATAACTATATGTATGTGTATCATTCATATATAAATATTATATATATATATATATGAGCTAGCATATGCTTCTCAACCCAAAACTCTTGTCAGAATAGTAATCCAAGTCCAGTAACACAGTTAGGATAAAATATTCACAATTCATGCCAAATGCATTCTAATGTAGTAATGGAGTTCAACTACTTATAAAATATTGGGTATTACCATACTACTGCAGCATGGTGGTTCAGACAATACTCACCTGCCATGCTGCTAGACCAGGATTTGTCTTAAGGGCTTTGGGTTAATTATTTATTTGCAACTCTAGGACCACTCAAATTTACTTTTGCATATATAGTACTGTACAGTTGACACTTGATAATCGAACAAGATGTATTATAACCAAAAAATACACACTAAAATAGGTCAAGTATAAAATGTAGAAAAGTACAGAAGTAATTATGAAAAGAAGGCACCAAGCCAGTGCGGCTATGTAGCACCGTCAAAAGTGCGGGATATTCAAAAGGTGCTAAATATCACTAAGGATGCCAATACGAGAACAAAAGTGCATAAGGCGAACATCAAAGGCATCCAATTCACCAATGATACTATCGAGGGACAAGTGACCACGAGGGACAGTCGGGAAGCAAGACACACGCATATCCTGGAAGTCAGAACATTCAACAAGGACATGCATGACCATAAGAGAGAATGCAGTTCGGACAATAAGGAGCAGGGTGGTGCTCCATTAAGTGCCCGTGAGTTAAACAGGTATGGCCAATACGTAACCTCGCTAGAGCCGTTTCCCACCGCCGGTTACGGTGGTAGGAGGAAGGCCACCAGGGGGACACTACTCTTAAAAGCACACAGTCTGTTACCAGGAACAGAAGACCAGCGATCCTGCCAATGGGCATGAATCGAGGAATGAATAACAGGGTGGAAGTCTAAATAAGGAACACTTTTACGGGAAATGGGACAAGTGCGGATAGCCTCCTTTGCTGCAGCATCCACACACTCATTTAGGGAAATACCAATATGGCTGGGAACCCAGTAAAACTTGACTGTCTTAAATCTGCTGGAGATAAACAGCCAATATTGAGTTTTGACGACTACAGGATGGGCAGGATTAAAGGACTCCAGAGCCAAGAGGGCACTGCGAGAGTCAACTACAACAACAAAGGAAGAATTACGGCGAGAAAGCAGTTGATGAAGAGGAAACAAAATTGCATGAAGCTCAGCCGTGAAGATGCTAGTCTCCAGAGGTAGGCGCCACATAGGTGTAGCCGGGAAACACAACGGAGTAGCCTACACAGTCAGCAGACTTACACCCATCCGTGAAGACGGAGATGGAGCGTGCAGAAACGTGAACAAGGAAAAGGCGTTTCAAAACTGTAGGAGGGGGTAAAAACCTTAGTCATGCGGATCAAGGTTCTACAAAACTCAGGAAGAGGAACCCTTCATGGGGGCAAGGACAGAATGACAGGAGAAGAAACATTGGCAACACAAACCGAGAGAGAATCTTGCAAGCGACACAACTGTACAGAAAAGAGATGGTGGTGAAAGGGAACAGGGCCCACAGAAGGGGTAATGGTCAAAGTACGACATAAGCAAGATTGAGGGTGTTGTAGGGACCGCAGAAAGTAGTAAAGACAGTAGAAATCACGGCGCTCTTGTAGAGACAGGATGCCAGTCTCAACATACAGGCTTTGGGTAGAGGTTGAACGAAAGGCATCAGAGCTAAGACGGAGCCCAGTATGGCCAAGGGTGGAGGGAGAGGCAGAAGAGTAAGCAGGATGGCCATAATTGAGTTTAGACAGCAGGAGAGAGGAATGTAAAGAAAGGAATGTGTGCCTATCAGCTCTCCAGGAAGTATGGGTCAAGATCTTAAGTTAAGGGCCTTAGATCATTCAACTTGGAGGTAGGGGACATGGGGTGACCAGAACAAGCGAGTGTCAAAGATTAATCCCAGAAGTTTAGCAGAATCCTTATACAAAAAAGATTTACCATAAAGCAACAGAGGGGGTTGAAGGACGACCTGCTTCTGAGTAAAGGTCATAGCACAAGTCTTAGCCGGAGAGAATTTGAAACTATGATAGGTGGCCCAGGCCAACATGGCATTAATCGCTAGTTGAAGCCGCCATTAGAGGAAAGGCGAGTCATCACCTTGAGAGCAGAGGGTAAGATCTTTAACATAAAGAGCGGAATAAATGTCAGAGGGAAGGGAGGAAAGAAGACCACTGAAGGTCAGCAAGAATAGAGTAGTGCTCAGAACGCTACCTTGGGGCACACCTTTATATTGCCGAAAAGAGGCAGAGAGCACGGTACCAAGCTGCACTTGAAAGGAACGATGGGAGAGGAAGCTCTGGAGGAAGAGAGAGAGATTATCATGAAGGCTAATAGAATGGAGTTGGGACTGAATATGGTATCTCCAGGTGGTGTCATACACCTTTTCTAGGCCAAAAAAAGGACAGCAACAACAGAGGTCTTCAGAGCAAAGGCAATACGAATATAGACCTGCAAGTTCACGAGGACATCAGTCGTGCTGCGACACTTGTGAAAGTCAAATTGAGAAGGGGAGAGGTGGTGATAGCGTTCCAAGAACCACATCAGACGGACATTGACCATATGCTCAAAAGAGTTTGCAGGCAACTCATGAGAGCAATGGGGCAGAATTCTTTAGGGAATGATCCTAGAGAACCAAGTTACCGAATAGGAAGAATAACCACCACAAGCCAGTAATCAAAAACTGACGACGACTCCCAGACAGTTATAAACACTCAGTAAATACTGAAAAGTGCATGAAGGAGATGGCGAAGCATCTCCTAATGAATATCATCCGAGACTACTGCCGTAGAACCGCAGAGGGCCCACAGGAGAGAACAGGGCAGTCTGGAGTTCTGAAAGAGAGAGGATCGCTATAGGGAAGCCGAAGAGAAGTGCAGAAATCTAAGGGAGAAGATTCAAGAAAAGGCTTGCGAGTAAGGAAAGGAGGAGGAAGACGAGAGTCAGAGCCAACAGTCGAAAAGTGAAAACCCAGTTCGGTCGCGACCAACATCGGATCCGCCACAATAGAACCACAGAGGTGAAGGACTGGCGAGACATCTGGAACAAACTTACCCGCTATCTTGCGGATTTTCTTCCAGCTCAGAGACAGAGGAGTGTCAGACGTAATGGTGGAAATAAAAGCTCCAACCCTCACGTTTAGCTGTATGGATTGCCCTATGGGCCACCACACTTGCCTTCCAAAACAAAACAAAAGAAACGGGCATCCTATGGCGACGGTGTTTCTTCCAGGCTGCACACTTACAACAGACAGTCTGAGCACAGTCTGCATTCCACCAGGAAATGCACTTCTGGGTGCCTCTAGAGGTAGAGTGAGAAACAGAGCAGAGGGCAGCATAAAAAACAGCGTCATGAAAGAGGAGGAGGGCGAAGAGAGAAGGTGACAAGGATGGGGAAATGGTCACTTACGTAGGTCATCAATAACCCACCATGTGAAATCTAAATAAAGAGAAGATGAGCAGAGAGAAAGATCAAGACAGAAAAGGGTGCAAGTGCGGGAGTCAACACGAGTGGGCTTACCAGAATTCAGAAGATAGAGAAAAGGAGAGGACAAAGGGTTCGAGAAGGCGGCCCAGGTGTTTGTCAGAACATCACCCCAGAAGGTATGTCGACAGTTAAAAATCACACAAAACAAGCACAGGCTCTGGTAAAGAGTTCAACAGGTGTTGAAGATCAGGAAGAGAAAGGGGGACATTCGGGGGGAGATAAATGAACAGACTGTATACCATTTACTCACAAAGATACGGGCCGCAGAACACCGAATGGGCAATGAAGGGAATATCAAGACGGATCAAGAGAGCAGTAGAGGAATGGACCCCAGCAAGAGCTGGAGGGGGAGAGAGAGAAAAAAATAACCATAGAAGTGACCAGGACGAGTGCCAAGCATCGGCTCCTGGAAACAAACACAAAGCAGGGAAAACTGCGCGATCAGAAGTTGGAATTCATGGAAGTTGGCATAAAAACCATGAATATTCCATTGAAGAATAGACAGACAAAAAAGAGAGAACAGAAACAGAGATAACAAGGGAGAAACAAAGGCAAAGAACACAGTAGACTAAGGAATAACAAGATAAGGATCAGTAAAATTAGGGTGACAGGGAAGAGGCAAATGATAACCAAGACAATGGAGCGGGAAGACGGACCAGAGGCGAACGGACAGAGTCTGGAGCAGGAGGCAACGGAGAGGACCAGTCAAGGGAATTGGGGGCAGGAAGGACAGAAACAGGTGAGGACACCAGAGCAAGGGCAGCATCCAAGAGAGGATCAAAGACTACGGAAATCTCCATAGGAGGGACAGGAGACCCCGCCACTGAAAAGGGAGGGGAAGCAGGGATAGTGTCGGAGTCAGAAGGTGAGGAATACATTGAAACCTTCTTACCCGCCGGGGAGGAAGAAGTAGAGGAGCTAAGCTTATGCTTCTGACATAGAGAGGCGTACCATCAGCAATAAACTGGGCGACCGTCTCGACAGTTTCAACAAGAGAAGGAGAATAGGAACGGCAACATGGCAAACACTGGGAGGAGGATGGACAAAGGCCTGAGCAGACAGGTGGTGAGAAGGACCAAGAGACAGAGGGGAGGGCTGAGAAGAAGGAGTGGGGCGAGAAGGAAAGGAGAGCACAGGAGACAAGGAAGACTGAGAAGAAAAGAAGGAAACACCAGATGGAGAACCAGGAGCACGACCCTCTGGCCCAGAATGCAAAGGAGCAGACGGAGCAGACGAGGGTGGTGGTGGTGTAGGGGTCCAAGGCCTCGAAATGGTTGTGAAACTGAGAAAGCAGGAGAGGGCAAAAAGAATGGGAACGCAACACACGAGCACAAGACATGCCAGAGAAAGAGGGAAGACGGCGAACCTGGCACCTAGCCTCAGGAAAAGACAAGGATGGCTTCCTCAAATATGCAATGCACAAATGCAGAGAAGAAGGCAGGGTGGGCACCACCGCAGTTGATGCAAAGAGTTTGGGAAGAAGGGCACTCCGTCTTAGAATGACCAGAGGTTCCATACAAGGGGCAATGAGAGACCTCACTTATGCACCTGAAGAGACCATGCCTAAATCTCCAGCACCTGCTGCAAAGGCGAGGAGAGGGGATGTACTCCTGAATGGAGCATTTGGCACCAGCAAGAATGACTGAAGAGGGAAGGGACCTATCAAAGGTGACTTTCAATGTGAAGAGGCTGATGGCATGACTATGAGGGGGTCGAGTGAAGGTATCCACCTGGAGGATAGAATGGCCTTAGGCCTCAAGGATATATTTAATATCCTTGTGTAGCAGTCTTTAAGTTCCCTGTCACCAGTAGCAACATGGTGCGGGAGAAAGTGTGCAAATGCAGTCATTCAATTGGGCATTTTTGGAGATGCGAACAGGGGTCTCTCCAATGCAGGACAATGAAGCCATGCGAGCAGCCGCTTCCTGAGAAGGGGATGCAACAACACAGGTAGCAGTATGGGTAGGGTTAAAGGTGACCAATGTATCCACCGAATCAACAAGGTGCTTATGGAGAAATAAATCATCAGGACAAGTAGGGTCAACATGAATAAGATCAAAATACTTGGTCCATGTAGTAGGACCAAACAAAGCCTGGAAAGAAGGAGACTGGGATGGAATCAAGCGTGAGCAAGTGCAGAGGTGACGACGCCAAGCACCCCCAGTAAGAGGGGGTAAAAGGCACAGTTGTGACAACTAGAGACGGAGCCACGCCAGGTGATGAGGTCGTCACCACTGGGGGTTTGGGGCTCAACCCCGGCACGAGGCAGGAAGGGAGCAGAGAGACGCAGCTGGGAGAGTCCGAGATGGAACATGGCCAGGGCCCAATGTAGCAGGGGCTACAGAGCCAGGTCTTCCAGCAGAGTCCGACTTGGGGGCCTGGTCGCCTACCCCCACGAGTTTGAGAAGGTAAAGGAGGGTCATAAAAAGACAAAAATGAACAGAAACAAAATTAATCCACAAATAAGCCCTTATACCCACCATGGAGCCACAATTATAGAGGATAGGACACCTGACAAGACAGCCCCACCCCCCCCAGGGGTGCACTCTGGGCATATGTCCAGCAATTGCCACCTTTGCCTTTTCTTCCAGACTGCACGCTTACAGAAGTGCAGCCGTTTACGAGCAGTGTCTAACCGGGACAGACCTGGGCAGTCGGTCGAGATCAATGGGCTGGAAAGGGAGGGGGAAAATGTAGGAAAAAAAATGCCACACTAGGTATGGTTAGGAGACCAATGAAGGCAGGAGTAGCTAATGCTGGGTGAATATTTTACTTGTGCTTGCATTTGGCTAACCTAAATATTGCTATTACAGTAGTCAGTGGGGCCTCGATTTACGATGGTAATCCGTTCCCAGAGACGTACCTTAAGTCGAAACGATTTTTCCCATAAGAAATAAAGGGAAATAAATTAATCTGTTCCCGACTCCCCCAAAAAATTTACTTCAAAGTAAATTTTATACCTAATTCACCCAAATCTTCACTACAAAAGTATGTACAAGTTATTATTTACCTTTACTGATGACTCCTGTTGCCGTATGAAAGATGGTGAGGAAGAGGGAGGAGGGAAGGTGTTACTGTTTTGAAGGAGCGTCCCCTTCCATTATAACATCAGGCAGTGATGATTTCTCTGGGGTACACTCTCTCCTATGTTTTGCCTGCATACCACTAGGACCTGGTTGTGGTTCACTGCTAGTTTGTCTCACTAAAAATTTGTCTAGCGACACTTTTTTTTCCCTTCGTTTTAACATTTGTCTGTAGTGATGCATCACAGTGTCATTGAAAAGGTTAAGGTAACGGCCTACTGCAGCTTGATTTGGGCGAGTCGTTTCAGCAAAAGTTTAGTTCTTCCCATGCTGCACACATTTTCTTAATTTTGAGGGATATTCTGTACTTCCTCTATGGTCATCCTTGCATGTGTTTTCATATGTTGAACCTTACCACTGACTTTCTTGGGACCCATGGCATGATATATAATAATTAGTTTTATGTTTAAAAAGCAAAAAATCACCAAAAAAATAGAATTTCTTATAAGCGTGATCGTCACTAAGCGGACGGCTCTAGTAAACTGAGGCAGGTTGGCCCGCGCCACCAAGAACCAATGCGCTCGGTCGACCTGAACGTGTATCAACAAATATCGTTAGTCGACGACACTATAGCAAGTCGAGTCACATTTTCCGATCAAATTTATATCGTAACTCAAAATTATCGTAAGTCAGGGCAATCTTAAGTCGAGGTGCCACTGTACTTACACTGCAATTAAATGTCATAGCTTAAAGAATTAGAGGAAGCTATGCTTCCACCAATTTTAGGTAGTGTATAAACAAACTTTTAACAACTAATTTATTGTATTGAATAACATTTAATTAAAGCAAGGAAAATCAGGATTATATACAGTGGACTCAGTTGCTGAACATCCCTCTTTACGAATTTTTCAGGTTATGAGCTCAATTTCTTCGTAAAAGTCTAATTGGTTTACGAGCTTTGCCTCGCTTTGCGAATCTGTCGATGGTCGACCGAGTGCATTGTCCCTTGTGACATGGGCGATTGTGCTTCAGTTTACCAGTGCCTCTTGCCTAGTGATGATCGCGCTTTAATACTTTGTAAAGAATTTCATTGTTTTTCTGCATTTGTTTATTTTTGAACATAAAAGTAATTATTATACTGTACATCACACCATGGGTACCAAGAAAGTCAGTGGCAAGGTTCAACCTAAGGAAACACATGTGAGGATGACGATAGAGGAAATTAATGAGTGGTGTGCAGTTTGGGAAGAAATGTAGTTTTATTGAAATGTCTCACCCAAATCAAGCTGCAGTAGGCCATTGCTTAACCTTTTTAATGACACTGATGTCTCACTACAGACAAGTGTTAAGACACAGGGAAAAACCAAGTCAAAATGGAAAGATTCTTAGCGAGAAAAACAGTGAGCCACAACCAGGTCCTACTGGTATGCAGACATAGTGTACGAGAGAGAATACCCCAGAGAAGTCATCACTGCCTGATGTTATAATGGAAGGGGACTACCCTTCCAAACAATAACACTTCTCCTCCCCACCCTCTTCACTGTCTTCAATATGCCAACAAGAGTCATCAATAAAGATAAGCTATACTTGTACACTGTACATACTATTGTACAAAATATTTGTGTGTATTATGTATGAAAGGTATTTTGAAGTTAATATTTTCTGAAGTGCAGAACGGATTAATTCAATTTATATGTGCAGACAAGGAGTCACAATAACGTGGATGAAATGTTGACCAAACCACACACTAGAAAGTGACGGGACGATGACGTTTTGGTCCGTCCTGGACCATTCTCAAGTCGATTGTGATGAGGAAAGTAGGCGAGGCAAATAAATAGGCAAGAGAGAGGCGAGAAGAAAATCTTAGAGGAAGAAAATATAATTCAATTTATATTATTTCTTATGAGAAAATTAATTTTGGTTTGTGAATTTTCTGTTTACGAGCTGTCTCTGGGAATGTATTAAATTTGAAAACTAAGGTACCACTTTACTGCATAGCAAGTTCATAGAATACTGGCAAAAGTGACTCAAGAATGGAATTCTGGCTTCCTTCCAATTGTGCCTGTGTTCATCTCCCAATTCATTATCTATCACAATTGTCTACTGGACTTTATAGCCACATTTGCCCATAACCCCTTCCCCCAAAAAGGACTTGAAACTGTGTGTAATGTTAGGAGGAATAAATGAGGAACAAAAGGTGAAAGTTGTGAGTCTTGAAGGAAAATTGTTGTCATATTAGATGAAGTGAGCATAGCTGGGCAGTTAAAGACAAATCCTGAGAGGTTCATTCAGCTACAGAACATCAAACAAAAATTAGAGTCACTGAAGAATAAGGCAGGTTAAGTAATGGGCAACAATAAAGAAACGGGGAAAATTCTGAAGTATTTTCTTTCTGTATTTAATACAAAAGAACTTTATATTATACTGCAGGTGGCATGGAGGACAAGTTGATTAGTGGTTACGATGGTGGAATTTATTTAACAAATATTGTAGAAAATTAAAGAGCGACAAGTCCCCAGGAACAGATAAAGCATTGGCTAATCTATTAAACAACAAAGTCACCTCAGGCCCTTCCAGCCCAGGACACAAACCTGGCTGAATTCACTTGTGCATCCATATGTTTCATATGATTGGCGAGATGTTACTGTACATTACTTGAAACCCAGAGTAGCTCAATTAAAGCAGCATCTCCAATTCAATATCCCAAGTGGTAAATTTTTTAATGTAATAAATTCTCAATTATGGAATGGATTTAAAATTTCCAATAAGTTATTAATAATAAACTACATAGTCCGATAAATTGTTTTTTGGGACACACCCGTGTAGTATCGAGCGTCAACTGTACAGCACATCTTTCTTCCTTAAAAAATATACAAACATGTACAATACTATAAATTATTATTAAAGTGCTCATGCTATCAATATTTTAATAGTGCTCAACAAATCAGCAAAAGGTCATATAAAAAACACTGATTATTTAAACACTCTCAAACACTTATTGCAGTTTGTAATTGTCATGCAACCTAAAATTTTAAACAAGAACTATTAAGCAAAAATTCTTAAATTCAAAGTTAATGGCCCACCTTCTATTGCAATAAAACTTTGTAACTATTTCTCACTTAAGTATTTTTAACAAACTGAAATATTTTTGTCTCAAACCCCTATACATTAACATGTTACTAGACATCAATTGGTAATCCTTTTATATTGCAGAAGTACCAAGTACAATAATGTGAACAATAATCCAACATTACTTGCATGTGTGTCATTCTGCATCTCTCTAGAACAGAACATGATGTATAATGTACCTGAAGGGGTTGGTAGAGGGTGGAGGCTGTGAAGTGACAGGATGACCCCCATCACCCATGGCTTTTCCTCCATTCTCAAGTTCCTCATCACTTACATCTTCCTGCAATACAATATTTCATGCCACTTAGCTGTGGAAGAATTGTGTATTTTTCATATAAAACTGAAATGGCTCATTTAATTATTTAATTCTTGAATGCAAGTAATTATCAAAAGAAGGCACCAGGCCAGGACGGTTAAATTCATTTTTAAACATACAACCTGAAAAAGAGCAATGTTGTTAGTAACTATTTACAGCATCATTCGTCTGAAAGTGATCCCCTTCTTATTTCTTAATTAAAAAACTCTGCACAAAATAAATTTGACCTATATGAACTCCTACCTAATAGCAGCATGATATCATTTCACACTGACTGATGAACAGTCAACAAATGTGTTTGTTGTTTAACCCTCAGGCCGCTAGGGGTCGAAATGGGATTAACACCCACAGGCGCAAAAAAAAAAAAAAAAAAAAAAAAATTATTTTTTAAGAGTGCATATTATATAATATAAATATTTTATATATATATATATATATATATATATATATATATATATATATATATATATATATATATATATATATATATATATATATAAATAAATTTGCACGATGCATTGGAAATATGTGCAACATATGCGTACATGTGTGTCATGCACATAACACAGTGTTTTCAGACAGTACAAATGTCCTACTGCCATAATATAGTGTACGTGTTCATTATACATAGGACTGGCATAAAAAACAAAATGTATTTGGAACCGTGCGCAAAAAATGAACAAAAATATATTTGCGGCAAACTGCCACAGGGCGCTATGGCCCCAGTGGCGTATGCCACGGGCGCCCTTTCTGTCCCAGGGGCGTACGCCACGGGCGACCCGGGAATGACGACGTCACGCGCAAACTTACGGACCCCATAGCAGCCAGAGTATGTACAATTTCGACCTTCTGTTACTATACCCATATTCAGGGAAGGGTTTTTGACACTTTCAAATAAAAAAATAATTTTTTCTAGAGAATTTATTTCCTGTGCACTGGGGGGAGGGGGGGGGGTTGTCATATTTGGAAGCCGAGCAGTTGAGGGGTTAATACAAAAATTTAGGAATGCCATGGCCTTCTATAACATATTAAGTAATAGAAAATGTGCATCTGAATGACATACATTATTGAAAACTATTATCATGAGTTCCTGGTACAAACAAGTTACTAGTGCAGATACATGAAATAACAATAGCACATTTACAAAAATATATACTGTACCAAGAAATGACATTGAAACAGGAGCACCTTAATGCAAGTTACTAGTGCAAATACATGAAATAACAATAGCACATTTACAAAAATATATGCTGTACCTAGAAATGACATTGAAACAGGAGCACCTTAATGCAAGAGTAAATAAACTGCAACTCAAAATCCATGACTAACCAAAATGAAGAAACTGCTCCACAAACATTTACCTGTGCTCATACTTACTTTGCTTCTGGAAGGCCCCGGTTGCTCTGTTACAACGCCCTCTCGCTGGTCAGGCTGAACAACAAGAGGAAGGGAAAAGCCGTTACTAAGCTACTCCACGCAAGTAAACAAAGCTTCACTGCTCCCCCACTGTGCTCTCACATGGGTCTGACATCAAACATTTATGTTCCATGATTTACACTGAAAGTTCTTTTCATATGATCCAGATTTAAAACTATTTTCAGGCTGGGCTAGACATTATGATCTTACTGTCATAGTTATATTAAGAATTTAGGTAAAAAAAATAAAGAAACATTTTGGTAATTCAATGCTCATTATAATCTTATTAATAAGCCAGTGTATTATACAATCTTCAAGGGGCAAAATTAATTATTGCCCTAGCAAGAGAATGCCAATAAAACTTTTGAAACCGACAAAAATAAATTAAAAAGCTTCTAATAAATCTAACTAACTAAAACAAGGAATAAAGGCATAATCTTATAATTAAAAATGTTAAAATAATTATCAAATTGAATCAGATCCCTTAAATTTAATATATTTTGTATGCAACTGGTATATTTTGACTACTGGCCAAGCAACCACAAAATAAAGTCAGCAGTCCCAACACTGAGTCAGTCCTAGTATGAGCACAGCAGTTGAGTCTTGGACTCGCACCAGATCAAGATAACAGCTTGCCATGCAATGCATCCGCAGGCAAAGGGATTACAGACAAGATCTACACAAACAATTTAACAGATGCCATGCTCGTCATGAATACTGTACATCCACATTATCAAAAAAAAAAAAAAAAAAAAAGACTAGAAAATATTACAGGGATATATATTAAGGATTTATTCTAGGTATTCAATTACCCTGTTTATTAATAAACTTCTGAACTGTATCAAATAGTTATTAAAAGGCACTAAGCTGTGAATGTGATATCAAATAAATGCTATATTATACTGAAAATATTTATTTAATAGCAATATTTGCCAAGAACACCATCATATTATGTCCAATTAAGTTTAAGATAATGTTGAAACTTCAAATGTGCTTGATTTTGGGCCTAAGTTTAAAGTTAAATTGTCTAGCTTAAAACTACATTACAACAATATATTTTACAGCATATGCCACTTCCTATGGATGAGTTAATGAAGCTTTTCATCGAGGAAAGAAAAGCCATGATCTTGGTTTTAAAATAAATTAAACAAAATATTGTATACGGATACCAGTCCATATTTAAAGAATAAACTCGAATACGAAAATGTACCAAAAAAGAAAATCATTATGTCCTATATGCTTTACTTTTTTTTTGTAAGGGGGGGGGGGGGGACTCCAAATAATCATAAATCATATTCTCATTAACAATGGAAAAATGCTTTAATGTTAAATAATGTTTATCAAGAAACTATTATAATTCAATAGAGCAAAATGTTTTGGAAAGTTTAAATTATATGGTACATGAACAATTTTCCTGGATATAAACTTAAAAGTACTAAAAACTTAAACAGAACATGTCCTGAAAGTATTAAATTTAATTACTGTGAAAATAAAAAAAATAAAAACATATCATGTTCTTTAAAACCAATAGTAAAGTTTTGAGCTACCATTACTAGCAAATAGTTTACACTTGAATTTTAAAACAAGTACACTATACTGCCATGAATTTAAAGCATAATATATTCAAGTTTTCTGGCATCAAGGCAAATTATTAACTCAAATACAGTCAACCCTCAATCTGCACAAATTCAGTTAAGGTATTTTTGCAGGAACTCTGACTGGGTGGTGCACGTGGCTCATGCAGCCAAGTTGTTCTTGTTGTTGGGAGCGTTCTGCCCACACACAGTACAGCCCCACACTCTTAACCTCACAATTATCTCCTGTTGCATGATAGTCTTGCATCATGCCAATTCTTAAGCATTCTGCACTGCATTATAGTAATTCATTGTGTAGGGGGACAGGAAACCAGAGTTATATACTGTATTTGTGGTTGCAAAGTGGCAGGAGTAATTGCTGAATAATAATATTAAAGTACTGTAGTTATTTTATCCAGCATAGAATGACTTCTGTGGGTCTCTGGAATGCACCACTAATTTTCCCATGCAGTATAACCTTGACTTCCATCTATGCTATTCTGATGTGCACAGAGTTTTCCAGAAACTCATCTCTTGTGCAAATTAAGGGTTGACTGCATTCAGTCAACTTCAATGAATATACAGATAGTAAATTATGATTAAAAAAAAAACACACAAGCATATGCATGATTCAGATCATTCATAAATCTTACTTCATTCTAATATACTGTATCCACTCAAAAATTGTACAAGGAGAATATATGAAGTACTGTACTGTACTAACATATACAAGAATTAACAAAATTTATAATACTGTACTGCAAATAGTAGTTCAGTTTGAGTCAAAGAAAATGTAACAATAGTATACAAAAAATCTAAAAAAGTTGTGAGATTTGCACTGGTAGCAAAGTAGAAAATTTAAATCTTTCACCACTATATTTATTGAAGGTGCAGAGAATGACATTGGGCAGCCAGCCTACCTTGACTACATTCCAGTCTTCTATGATGCTTCTGACTGACTGAATGAGTTTATCCCAGTCATTAATATTTTCAAGTAATAAAATTAAATGCTATACAAATTATCTACCCAAACTATTCACAGTATCTGCATTACACCCACAATGTATGTTAAATGGTGTTTGTTTAGTCTTTGTATTTTTCACTGCTAGGAATACTGTAGAGGCAAAAACTTAATTTTTTACATTTCCTTAGCATCATAACCGATCATGATAAGAAAATAATCCTTGTACTATCCCTAAATATTGAGTGAAAAAAACTTACTAAATCAGTCAACCAGATGCCAGTTTTCTTAAACACAAAGCAGAGATAATGGTTAAATTTTCATCAAACATTTCTAGTATTAACCATCTACATAGCTTCAAGGTAGAGCATTTGATCATTTTGGTTTGACAAATGCTAATCAATCTATACAAGCCTGTTCTTGGCTAAAAAAAATTACAATCAAAAGGTGTCTCAGTAGAGGAAAGTTTTGTGGGAATTGTGAATATATATACCACTTCTGCCTTGAGAATCAAAAGCAAATTAAACCATATTCAGCCCATCCTCGCATATAAAGGTCCAAGCTCATTAATCCAGCTGCCAAACCCCCCGTTTATGAATAAAAAGCAGTTTATACACGACTCGCAAACTGATGACGTCCGAAAACTTCCAAAACAAGTGCTTCGCTTACATCCTCTATTCGAACCACAATTCTATAAATGCTTCACCCACGTGCTTCAAATACAAATATTCGCCAACAGAACCTAAACACCTAACCTAAACCTACAAAACTATACATAGAAATTTTATGCATAATATTATTAATTTGTATACGAAAACAAATAAATTTTTTTAAACTTATAATTTATGAATGCGTCTGGGGAGGACGGCCGCTGCTTTATACAGTCTAATGAGAGGATGGGTTGTTATATTAGGGTGACCATCCTCCATATATATAACAAACATTCCAACTTTTAGAAGTATATCATGGATTGTTGAATTACAAAAAATGTAAAATGTCCTTTTTATGGCTTGTAGAAGTGAAAATTAACATAGTAAGATATAGAAGAATGATGAAAATACACGAGATGAAAATAAACAAAATTGTGATTTTTTAAAATGTTTGCTGAAAAATGTCAAGGAGTTCAATATACATGATTGACCACTACAAAATATGGTACTAGATTCCTACTATGGTTAAAGAAATTAATCAACAAAAATTGCACCTTTCCTTTTTTAACTGTCTTGACCCAATTAAGGCTAGTAACCTAGAAATATTTAAGTATGAAGAAATATTGACTTTGGAAATGCTAAAAAAAAATAATGCAGTTGAAATCCATCTCAGTAAGGTGTATCATAGTAAGGCTCCATGACTATCAATTTTGTGACGACCAGTATGACTCGCAAAGTTTAAAATATTTACACTTGTGCCAAGTATCTTTTGTGAAAAGTCTTACCATGTAGTTGACAATGCCCGCATCCTAATAAAATTTAAAAACACAACTAGAGCCAAATAACACTGAGAAAGTGGCATGGACCAGCAGTAGCAACCTATCTTTACGGACCAGCAGTAGCAACCCATCTTTACGGACAAGCAGTAGCAACCCATCTTTACCTCATGGACCAGCAGTAGCAACCCATCTTTACCGCATGGACCAGCAGTAGCAACCCATCTTTACGGACCAGCAGTAGTAACCCATCTTTACGGACCAGCAGTAGTAACCCATCTTTACCGCATGGATCAGCAGTAGCAACCCATCTTTACGGACCAGCAGTAGTAACCCATCTTTACGGACCAGCAGTAGTAACCCATCTTTACGGACCAGCAGTAGTAACCCATCTTTACGGACCAGCAGTAGTAACCCATCTTTACGGACCAGCAGTAGCAACCCATCTTTACAGACCAGCAGTAGTAACCCATCTTTACGGACCAGCAGAAGTAACCCATCTTTACGGACCAGCAGTAGTAACCCATCTTTACGGACCAGCAGTAGTAACCCAACTTTACGGACCAGCAGTAGTAACCCATCTTTACGGACCAGCAGTAGCAACCCATCTTTACGGACCAGCAGTAGCAACCCATCTTTATGGACCAGCAGTAGTAACCCATCTTTACGGACCAGCAATAGCAACCCATCTTTACCTCATGGACCAGCAGTAGCAACCCATCTTTACCGCATGGACCAGCAGTAGCAAACCATCTTTACGGACCAGCAGTAGTAACCCACCTTTACGGACCAGCAGTAGTAACCCATCTTTACGGACCAGCAGTAGCAACCCATCTTTACCTCATGGACCAGCAGTAGCAACCCATCTTTACTGCATGGACCAGCAGTAGCAACCCATCTTTACGAACCAGCAGTAGTAACCCATCTTTACGGACCAGCAGTAGTAACCCATCTTTACGGACCAGCAGTAGCAACCCATCTTTACAGACCAGCAGTAGTAACCCATCTTTACGGACCAGCAGTAGTAACCCATCTTTACGGACCAGCAGTAGTA